AGCTTATAATTGCACTATATATTTTTCTCTCTATAATCGCACACCCTCTCTAAGTGCACATTTTTAGAAATTTTCACTATACCCCCGGGGGGGTGCATTTAGAGAGGTCTCTCTGTAATTTGTTAACACCTAATATAAATGCTAGCCTTAAATTTAAAGATTTGCCTGCGCCACAAATCTGGCACACATTTCCGACATGCAGCAAGATCATTAAATTTGGCCTAGTATATCAAGAGATGTGTGCGTTTTACGTTTCATGACTATAGAATCTCTGCAAAAAAATTTTATAGTGAAACGTAAAATGTATATATCTCGTGATCCACTAGTCAAATTTAATGATCTCACCCCCATTAGAACCGTTAAAGTGTCCTTTACAACTTTTATTAGAAGCAAGAAGCAGTTTACTTAGTAAAAAAATCGAGATCGAACCATATAAATAACCGTTTCTTTGTTATTTATCAGCCCCTGTAGTTCAAATGGGTGATATTAACGAGGGTCACCTGTATTTTTTTTTTTTTTTTTAAAAAAAATACTTGTTACTAAGGGAACTGAATATATTTTATATAAATACGTATAGCCTCCTCTTAGAGCCAAGTATTTAAAAACTAGAATCATTACCCGGTTAGAGAACTCCGGATGTTAATTGACTATTCCAGGATACCAGAGTCAGTCATTTGGAAATTACAAATTTTAATTCTTATTCAATGCTTTACTATGGTCAATCTATAATGGTATTTTCACGTGATAAAATTATTGATCTTATTTTATAAACCGAGATAGTAAATCATTAAATAAAACCGTTATTGCATGCTCCCGTATGCAATAACTATATAGTATTTCGCCTATAAACAATCGTATTTATATAATTTAATGTAAGTATTATACGTAATATTGCTTCAATTTCACTTTGAAGGTATTTTTTTTACTAATTTAAGGTTGTATAGCTACCAATAATAGTAAAATCATTAATATCAATTACCGGTAGGAGTTTTTAGGATATTTTAATAATCATATCAATTTTTTTTAAAAAATTGTAAAAAAGTTTTATATATGATAGCAAAGAGAAAAATTTAAGATATCTCAGAAAGTTAGCTCTACAACCTTTATTAGAAGTTAAAAAGAAATTAACTTAGTAAAATAGAGCAAATTGAAATTGGGGTCATATTATAATACTTATATTAATAAATTATATGAATACTATTGTTTATAGGCGAATTACGAATTCAAGTATAAAATCAATAACATAAATTATACGTATAAATATTGCATATTTTATAACCTCCTTAACTAGACTAATCAATTGATCAAATTAATTTAATCATAATTATTAGTTTATATGGGCTAGGTGCTGAGAAAAGGGACGAATTTGACAATTTTTTCAAAGGATATTTTTTTACATAAATCAATTTAGAATAAGATTAGAATCATTTTTCACTTAAGACACAAAAGTAGTTGTATTAATAAAATTTTGTAGTATAGCTTTTTAAAGTGTGCATTTTCTTATGATTTATTATAAGATTTACAATGATTATAATCTATTTTAGGCCATGCAAAATTAATATAATTGGTTTTCATAACCCGGCCGGGTCAAAACTTGGAAACTTGTAAAAAAATTTTTTTATATGTTTTAATAACCGGGTGGAAATTTTTAAAAAAAGTTTTATAAAATTTCTATATATAAAATTTTCAAAAAAAAAGCCGGCCGGTTAAAAGTTTTATGTTATGAAAACCAAGATATTAAATTTATGTGGCCTTATTGACCAAATTATATACAGTATATCCTGATCATTTTTGATAAATTATATATAAATTTTACTATCATAAATGATATAAAAAAATAACCAATAAAACACAAAAAATTTTTTTTAATTTCCATATCATAAAAATAAAACCATTATGCTTAAGCTGTAAAAGAAAGCACCATCACTGTTAAAACATTCGAATATTTTCTGGTAGTTATTCCTTGAATAGTAAGAATACGGAAGGAAATCTTTACGAAAATGGTCGTTTAACATATTCCTATATACTTGTAATTTAACATGTAGATATAATATTCTATATACATTATACTTAGATTCCAAGTAAGTTTAAAAGACCGTTTTTATGAAACTCGCTTCAGTGTGGGGGTTAAATCAGGATCCAATAAAAATACTATTTATTTATAGCAACCAATAACAGCTTGCATCCTTCCTGCATAAATTCAATTTTATATTAATGGAAATATTCATCGAGTGATGTTCTATTCTTAATCGACGAAATGCTAAGATTTTTTCTGTTAGTTAATAAACAAGGTCAGACCCGTTTTTCTAGATATTACTCGGGAACACCAATACAAGCAGAAGAGAGAGTTCTCATGGAAGCTGATATTGCACGAAAATGCTTGAAACGAAGCGATGTTCAGGTGCAAAACTGAATCATAAAGCATATTATTTGTGATATTCACTAATCACTCATTTACTTATTTATTTAATACGTATAAGTGTTCCATATTTGAATATGGACAGTATAAGCTGGGTGAATTTTCCTAAACATGGTTTAATACTTATTGGAAGCCGATAATTTACGTTTTTTTCTCTTCGTAGCTTATAGGCGTTATGCGTCATTGTTTTTTGTAATAGGATTTGACGAGGAAGAGGTTCATAATTCAAATTTCATACTTCCATTATTCATATTCAATACTATATTTACGCATACTTCTTTAATAGAATCATCTTTCTATTTTAGAACTAGTTCAAGCTTATGTTGGTAAGTTATATATAATTTTTTTTAATTGATTCATATTAATTCCTTTGTTCTAATGATCTAATCTGTTTTTAGAAATATTGAATACTTATTTTGACAACGTGGTAAGTTAAAATTGAAAATTATTAAATATTTTATGCATTCAATAATCTCGTTTTAATTTATGTGACCTTTCTCGTTTTCTCAAAGTGTGAATTAGATATAATGTTCAATATTGAAAAGGTTCACGTTATTCTTGAGGAAATGGTATCAAATGGTCGTATTGTAGAAACTAATAAGCACAATGTTTTAGCACCAGTTTTGGAGATGAATAAGTCTTCAAGATGAGTTTTTGCCAAATTTCAAATTATGATGTTTTAAATCTTGTAAAGTGGCATAATAATGAAAAATGGTAAGGTCAGCTGTTCTAATATTTAATTTTCTATAGAGCAATAGTTATCTATCATATTAATGATGGAATCATTCTGTTAAAAAAATATATATTTTTTAAATATTATTTATGTTGTTATAACCTTAGAACAAAAATTCATTTTGAGTTATTAATAAATTTATTATAAATCAATAGTAGGTTTGTTTTTAAATTTTTTTGCCGCTCTAACGGCAGACCTAAATCTAAATTGATTTCCGTATAAAGTAAACATATGGTCTCGTAATAGAAATGTAAATACACTGTGACCTTTAGGAATAACTAATGAAAAGCAAATATATACATAAATATATACACCAAATTTAGGATATAAGATAAATTACTTACCTTTAAGAACATTATCCTTTGTGATCAATTTGAACACATTTTCTGTTTCATGAATGTTGATTCCTGTCACTCCAATATAAGAGGCACATCTTGATCTGGATACTAAAATTATTTAATATTGGATTAGAAATCACGCGTAAATAAATGTAAGAATTCATGAAAGTACCTGTTAAAATTGCGCCATGAAAATCTGCTTTCAATAACTTTTGAGCAAAAATGGTAGGACTCGAGGTTCCGTATAACTCATCAATATATTGAAGCCAAAGTTCGTTCAGGGGGGTAAAAAGCTCATATCTAGAATTATATATAGTACTCATATTAACGATTTAAGATAAAAACGAATCTTCGTTTTTTTTTACTACTTTTACACATTCGAAACTTAACCTGTGGCATTCTTTTGGAATTTCATATATTTTTGTTTCTCTTTTCTCTTTTGCGCTCATGGATTTTATCTTTCTTTTCGAACGCCTTCTTTTTTTCTTTTCATTAGAAGTTCTCAAAGGATTATCGAGTAATAAAACTTTATCTTTTAATTTTGAATCATAAACTTTAGCCGAGTCTTCGACCGTTTCCTCCAAAGCTCCCATCACAAAATTTGGTACAAATTTTTTTGTAGTTTCAGATACTGGTGGTTGTCGCTATCGAGAACATCGATGAAACATAAATAGGAATAAAACGTTACGATAGGTTCACAAGGATTCACATACTTCCTTCTTTGCCTCTGGTGAATTAATAACATATTTTGGAAGTTGAGAATATATATTGGACATGATTATACAGTTGAAGTCTATAAAGACCAAGAAAATGATGAGTGCTTTGTATTACCAATTTTATAATTTATAAAATATTTTATCACGTGACACCAAATGTTGTTACATCACACAATTACATAAAAATTAAATGTAATAACCAGCTAATAATTAAAAAATAGCTATATAATTGTTTATTTTTTCTTTCTGGCCCTGGCTAATACATTCAGCAATCCACAATATGTTTCTGATTTCTTGTTCTTTTAATTTTAAAAACGAGTAAAAAATTGCATAATGAAACTGTTGCTGGAAAGTAAGTTTGTTAAGATGAACTTCATGCTCAAAGAAATGGTCATCTAAGGACTTGGCTTCGTTTGTGGCAGTTCCACCAAAAGAATTTAGGGTTGTGTCAAAAAAAGGTCGATATTCCTACGAAAATGTATGTTAAATATATAATATCAAATGCAATTCTAGGCTAATGAAAATAAATATCATACCACCCAAACCTCAACAATTGCCTTAACATGTTCACTGTTATCTGCCCTTGCAAGTTTTGCATGTCCATCTGGATATAATTTACCAAGACTTGGGAACAATTTTGCACGATCATCTCTCGACAATTCAGTATCGAAAGAATTTATTGTGATATTGATAGTGCGGCGATCAGCTTCAAACTATAACGGAGACCAATCGAATTCAATAAAAAGAATAAAAAGCTAAAACAATTTAGCATTGTTTAAATATAAATGTCCAATATTAAACTACCTCCAAAATTTCGCACATTAATTCTCCTGTCACACCACCACTTCTCTTGCAATAATCATAAAAATCTTCAAGATACGCTTTATAAAGCGTGTTACGAATAATTTCAATATTTAATTCATCAATGTCATTAACGGACAACTTTTGAAAGTATGGGGCTATGAAAGATATACATTAT